AGAAAGCCAAGTGAACCAGGCGTCGCCGCATGGCTCATGGACCGACGACATGGCTGCTTACGACGCAGTCGGGATGTGGCATCCGCTTTGGATCCCACACACAATCCGTCGAGGTTGAAGCAATGCTGAAAATGCATGTTCACCATGTCAAAAGGACTGCAGTGTTGTCGCTTGAGTTACGTAACTTGGAGGAAACTGTGGGTGCTACAAGAAAAAGGGTCTTCATCCTCTTCATGGTCGCTCTGATAGTCCCAACGTCTGCAACCAAAGCACATCAGCAGGAAGGTACCGGTGTAGGTATGCATCATCCGCCTGACATCCGGATCTCGCGGTTGGGCCGATCAAAGAAAGAAAAGCCGAAATCTCGCGATCTGTTTCAGTGTGACACACCTCCATTTCACTGCAAGTTCTGGTCCACACCACGTGCCACCAGCTCTCTGGGCCGAACCGGCCGGAGTGCTTTCACAAAGGAACACAGCAAAAACCGAGCAACCAGGAATAACCAGTGTTTTACCAAGGATCTGACACCACAAAACCAGGTCAACCCTTTTTTCAATGGTCTTTGAAGGCCAGGTTAGGGCTTTCGTTCCAAGATTTCATGCGTCTGCCACCTGGGCTTTTGGACACAAATGGAGCCCAGACCTGTTTTGGGTGGCCCTTCAAGGAGCAACCTCCCTCCGAGACGAGACGAAGCTCCTTAAGAGCTCCAGCTCGTGCATCAAGTACAGGAAGGGCACCACCTTGGACCGGCACGAGGGGCCAGTGACGCGTTTTGGGCAGACGCTGTGGGCCGGTATCTTGGGACGGTGTATGAAAAAGCGTGATCACAGTGCCACATTTGCTCTGTTTTGGGGCCGTTCTTTTTGTGATGTTTCTATATTTCTATTAGTATATTGCATGTTCTTCCCGGCTCTATTCTTGTGTGTTTCAGCATGCTTCTCTCTTTGGGCCACGTAAGCTGCTATGCTCCTATGCACGCCAGCTGGTCAATGAAACTGCACTCAGCGACTCAGAAATGCGTTTGGCCAGAAGCAAGACCAAACCACAAAATAATCTAAGAAGCCATTCACACAAATCTTCACCATTCCAGCGTCTATTCTCCTGAAAAACACAAACAGCCACCCCCATTCGCCACGGTAGGCCCTACTTCCTCTTCCTTCGACCTTTTTCCACTCAAAAGAGACCAACGCATCCGGTCGGAAGGGGAAGCCCGGCATCTTTCATCGGGTGCATGAGGCAAGGGATCTTGTCGTAGGCCTCTTGAAAGTCATCCTGACGACGAGTCGAAGGCTCGGAAGGACACACCCCACGTGCCGTACTATTTTGTGTAGGGTGTGAGCCACGGAATCATGTTCGTGCCCAAATAGATAGAAATGGTGTCCAATACATTCTTAGTGGGGATCTACTTTCGATCTATTTGGGGGGGTCTATATGCTTGTGAGGTGTTGATGAAAGATTAACAAAACATTAACAAACACCAGATCAGCACTGGGGAGTTTCCTGTCAGCTCACTTTTACCCTGCCAAGAATGCTGGAGAGATTGAAACTATCCCCTATGCTGGCAACGCTCTCTAACGCTTTTCCAGAGTCTCCGTGACTGAAATGTTGCCTGGAACCCGCAGGTCCTTGCTTTGTGAGTATCTTTCGGAAGTAAGGCAAAACGAATCGTGGGTAAGATTGCGTCAAGTACTTAAGTAATCGGTCACCGGTCAAAGAACTTTCGTATCGCCGTTGCCACCGAGCAGAGAGGTTAAGCACACTCACATGTCAAAAATTGTCAATATTAAATGGATTGCAAAAGGTCAGATGTGTTTCCAGTCGAAAAAAGTCTAAAAGGTTAGAAAACAAAAAGCAATGCTAAAAGTATTACAAAATGGGTCTGGAAATCCATGAACATCCTTATTTTGAAAATTAACCGTGATGGAAATGTAGGCAAAATATAAAAAGTTTGAGACGAAAAAAAACAAGCGCAGATCAAGGCAGGAAGCTCTTTGTTCAACGTTTGCAGTTGTCTGATACGTTTCATGCCTGATGATGTTATGTTATTTGTTGAGCCTCAATGAAACTGTTGTGTCATCATCTTAATTGGGTGTTTTTAAGTATTATTACAAAATGGGTTTAGGTCTCAAGAGCTTAGCACACACAACCAAGCATATAGTTTGAGTCTTGATACCTCTTACTTGTACGACTCGTATGTACCCAAATTATCCAAAAGTCTCGTTATGTTTTCTTAATTGCTAAATGAGTCATATAATATAAATTGACAAAATCGTGCTTAAGCACGCCCACTTTAGGTTGTCGGTGGCAGGGATTTTGCAAGTCAGATTGTACCTTCACTCCTCAGAAACCTGCAAACCACGTCGGCCCCCCCAAACGCCCAGGAAAAACCGAGACGGCCCAGAAAGCCGCGGCAAGAACGATCAAGAACGATCCTTCTAGTCAGTGAAACTATGAGGTCCGGACCGGTTTGGTCCGTGTGTCGAACGTGAAAAGCCACACTGAAATTCTCTTAATATACAAGTCACAATCAACAGGTCATCCACAAATCCCATCCAAATCCCTCACGAGGTGGTATTGGTCCATTCGTTGGCCAGAAACTGGACCCTTCCTGTTCTTCCGGCGCGCGGAAAACACGCGGAAATCATGAAAGCGTTTTCGGCCCAAAAACCCGCGGCGTTCGACTCGCTTGGCTCCTCGGTCACGTTTGCAGCCTTGATCTTCTTGATGAACGCCTGGTAAACTCGCTGCGCGTTCCGCTGCTCGCCCGCGAAAGACGAAGCGTTTAGCATCCTTCTACCGTTCGAACGGTGCGATGAAGAGAAGCATTCGTGCCGTTTCGTGCCTTGGTTGACCACTGACCATGAACAGATTTCTCTATAAGCGAGGTCAAACTACCATGGTTTGGTGAGGGAGGTTTTGACTCACAACCTGGAATCCTGGTCGTTTTGCTGTTACTTCTACCCACGGTCATGGTATCTTTTAATAGTATTTCCACTGACTGGTTCCATACCGGAACATGACTCCACTAGAAGGGTCTTCAACAGGATAAGTCCCAGGCAAAAAGACTTGTTCTCCGGAAAAAGGAGAACACTTCTCCGACTGTTGCATGCCCGAAAACCACACCGAAGAGAAGGACCCAAAACCAAACCATCCAAAAAAACCACTGAAACACCATCCCAAAACGAACTCGAAACGTCTTTTTTTGGGGGGGCGGCGAAGCAAAAACGGCAAGCACGCGCGGCGAAATGGTTTGGTCCACACCTTCCATTGCGCAGAGGTCCATTGGACCACCAACATGGCACTATCCGGCCCATCCACCTGTCGATGTGTCCAGGACATCGCTGCATCGGTGAGGGTGTTTCCGTCGCTGAATCGGTGCAAGGTGCTTGGGGTGTGTGCTTTTTCGGGATGGGGTGGGGTTTGGGGGGCAACTCGGATCTTAGCGCTGTTGGGGGTCAAATACAAAAGGTACACAGGCCACGTTGCGCCTGTGTCCAAGAGATGTTCTTAAATAACATGGGGAATCATTCCAAGCACTATTTTAGGAGGGCAACTTCACTGGCCATTCGTTCAGATCGAACACCCGCACGATGTCACAGGATCCCTTCCTTCTCGTCGTCTTTCTCGTCATCTTCTCCATCCAAACGACGGGATGTGACTTCCTGAGCAGGAGTGAACCCGGGCGTTCGAAAGAACATCACTAGCCTTTAAAAGCTTTGACTATAGTTTGGCATCTAACAAACACCTCCACCTCTTTCGCTGTTCGCAGCAGGCGCGGTTGGCAGGCAGGCACTGGTCGCGAGCTCGCGCAGCGGGGCGAGAGAAGGACCTGCCTTGAGGCTCCGCAGCGACTCGGCGTCGCCCGAGATATCTCCTGGCTTCGAGATCTTCAGTTCTCCCGAAGTACGGAAAAAAGCGGAAGAATTCCGGCGAACGGGAAGACGGCGAGATCGGAAACGCGGACGAGATCGAATCCAGAGGTTTTTTTCGGCGCAGAGGCAAACCATCTGGCGTGGGCCTTGAGTGACCAAACGAAGCGATGTTCATGAAGCAAACACTGGGGGGAGGGTCCTTGATGGCCATCTTCCGGGGCTTTTTCTTCCCGTGGAAGTTGGAGGACTTTTTCGAGTGGTGGATTATCCATCGATGTCGATGAGTGTGTTTTTTCTTTAACGTGACCCTACACAACACCAGTAAACATCAACATGTGTTGGTAGAACATGAAGGAGCATGATTGGAAACAAAGTGCCCTCTTTTTGGAGAACTATGCTCAAAGGATGCTATGCCCTCCACTTCGAACGTTGCGAACACTGCAGGTGATATAGAAAAATGTGATCTCTCAGCTTCTTAGACGTCCGAGACCTTTTCATCCGCTTGTCTGATGTCCCCAATCGAAGTCGGAGCTTCAACAAACAGAGGCCATTCAAGCAGAGTCCAAATAGACTCGCAGGCGAAGCGACCGAGGCCATCAGAACCAAGCAAACAGGAACATGCTTGGCACTCTCCAATGGACTCTGCTGTTTGAGGTCAGCTGCACCCTGCCGCATGGAACGGTTCAGCACCAGAGTGCAGTTCATCTGTCTAATTCGTGAAGCAGCGCGGTTGCCGGAGCTGTACATGAACAACCAAAAAAGAGGTGTGGCACTGAAGTCGATGGCCCGCAACTACCACTCTGATTGAAAAATAAAACATTAAAAAACTTTAAAAAACTAGTCTAACATACAATACAGTAGAGGTTGCCCCCATCTACTATCGACCAGGTGTGTTTGCTTCCGGTCTTTGCTTAGCTTGGCTTCACCACAACTAAAATGTGTGCAACTCACACGCAGCTCCACTGGCAAAGATTCTTGAGCAAGCAACACATGGCAACGCTTGCTGGTTGAGAACCCCCAAAGATTGCCAAAGAGAGCAGTCCTATGTGTTGAAAGAGAGCAGTCTTCTGATGTGGGAGGAGCACTTTCACGAATGTTGTGGGAAAGTCCAGAAGTCTTGAGATCGAAGCCAAAACGACATGAACCTCATGTAACTAATGTCGATCTTTTCATGTGCTTTTTCCGAAAAACCTCGGCGTCTCAGCGCCGGTCCCCTGTGGCCTCCCTATTTGGGGCCATGAATTAACACATAACGCCCACATGGCTCACGTCTCTACAGTCTCGGGAATCATCTCAGAGCTGTCCGGAGAAACTGTTCCCGTCGATCGCCTCTCCGTCGACGCACCGAGGACGATCCGGTCGAAGGACGATCGACCGGGGGCCCCTACTTTCGTTCGACATGACAAGAAGCTACTAGTAGCTCCTGGCATCGCTACGAACGGAGCAAGGATGCTACTAGTAGCTCCTGGCCTTACTACTACGTAGGAACAAGAGGCTGCTAGTGACAAGAAGCTACTACTAGCTTTTTAAGGCCCAAAGTGCCCAAATCTGTGGAAGCCACAAAGTGCCCAGTGCCCTTTAGGCAAGATCTCTTCGCCCAAGCTGCCTGAAATTCGGGTGATCAACCTGCAGTGCCTCAATTGATCCATTCATCACATCAGTGCGAACGCCATCCATCGCCCAAATCACATCGAACATCCCAACATTCACAGCCCGCTTTTCCACTGCTCCCCAAACCGCTCCTTTCGTGTGGAGGAGACTTTCGAAGACGCCAGAAGTCACGCGACGATGTCGCAAGCTTGAGACCATGAGATTGATCATGGAAAACTGAAAATGGTGGCCTTTTCATGGTTGGTGTCCTCTCCAAAACTCCAATCACGGCCGAACAGTCACCTGTTTTTCGACGTCGATGTGTCCCGTTTCGGTCCATGGCGCGCACCGGACGGGCCAAAAACCGGTCGACGACGCGGCCTGTAGAAGACTCGTTGCCCCACCAGAACGCCACCCACCGCTCCGACAGTGCCACCCACAGAGGCTCCTGTGAGGCAATGGCTGTGTGGCAAATGGTTCACCGGGGTAAGATGCCATTGAAGACGCTCCACCATCGTTGCCTTGTGGAATAGGCTGCTTCACAATGGTTCACCATTTCTGCTGGTTCGGATCAGCGATTGGCCTATTCCACATGGCGACGTATGGAGGCACGAACCAGATCCAAGACTGTGAAGGAGTCCGGAAAGAGCGCTCCCACCCCCGGTCGATCATCATCAGCAGCTCTTTTGGTCCAACAAATGGTGTCCTGGTCAAGCCTTCACTCCATCCCACAAAGGTAGGTTGGAGGCCATCGCTAGTAGTAAGCTAGCTTCTTTTTCTACGTCTATTTTTAGTTCTTCATTGTCTCCAGCGCCTGTCTCCACATCACCCATCCGATCCGATGCTCCTATGCAAAGCCCTGTGCCGGCGCCCAAAGCAGCGCCCACTGGTACTGAGAGCCTCAAGCAAGCACTGGACGCCAAGTGGGCGTCTTCGTTGACGCCATTGGTCCGGAAAGATGGCGCTGACCAAACGGACCGAGATGGCGGATAAACAAGGCCGGTTCTTCGTGCACGCTCTCCACTCGCCAGCAAGTTCATGGAAGTTCATGGTCAGACAATCGAGTCCAGTGAGATGAGGGTCCGATTCAGACATAAGCCGATCATAGACCTACATGCTGTTACCAAAAGCTGTTGCTGTCCTCTGATCGAAAAAATGGTGTTTGTGAGTGTGTATTACAGAACTCTGAGAACTCTCACCTTTTGCCCAGAAGTGTACAGAATTCGTTTGTGTCTCGAATTGGCCCAGAATTGAGAGACCCCTGAGTCGCCCAGGCCCTGCAGTGAAGACAGCAGGGCCCAAGCCAGCTAAGAGCCCCAGGGATCCTGCGCGGTGGGTGGGACGAGCTAGGGTAAAGAACGCCTGACCAGCGTACTGTTGAAATTGGAATCTGGGGCCAATGTTCTTCTTCCAATGTTGTTGACACATGTACAGAGATACTATACATGTGTGTTTAGGGACTTGTATACAGTGTTGTTTGATTCATGTTCTCCGGTTTTGGGGTCTCCCTACCACCTAAGGACCTATCCCTTCATTAAGGATTGCCGGATTGCCTTTCTGCGCAGAAGTACACTCCCCGAACAACTCAAAAACAAAGAGCCGATCAAGCGGTCCGAAGACCATGCGGGTGAAACGGAAAAAAGAAGCGAGGGAACCTCCTGCTGGCGGATTGCATGTTAGGTTTAAGATCATGTAGACTATTGATTGATAAAGCCCCCATGTGAAGAGGATGTCCAATTCAAGTGGGTCGGTGGGTCACCGCCCCCACTGGATGGAACAATTACTCAGCCGGCCCGGATGGCCTGAAATGTACACAACATCTATGCTATCTCATGTTTCGAAAGAAGAGTTTGGATGAAGTAATGCACCCTGGCCCAAATTAGGTGGTTGACCTTTACCATGTTCTCGCACCTGCAATTCACTCCATTTGCTTTCGAAATTAGGTGCCTCGTGAATCCGTGATGTCCCTACTTGGTTGCACCCATCGTAGTCGCCTGGTTCCCTTTAGCGAATTGTTTTTGTGTATGCTTCTTTCTGTCAGGTAGGCATGGTTTCACACCAAGAACCCACCTACACCGGCCATAAGACATGGCAAGGGGTAGCGTGGGTGCGTGCGACCGCCCGCGAGTTCGTGCATTCAAGTGGGTCGGTTTATTAATCAAAAGTCTACATTGTGTACAACGCCATTGTGTTCGGCTGTCATCACTTGGTTCCTCCCGAGGCCACTCCTCCAGCCAGCAACCCTGAGGTGCCACCGGCAATGCCCAAAGTGAGATATCCACCTGCCGACATGCGTCGCTCAGTGACGGGACCAAGGCCAGGAGCTAGACGATGCCCGGCAGCGGGGCTTGGAAGTGTCTTGGGGACCTAATAGCAAAAGGAACCTAACCCACCGGGTCTTCGACAAAGTTTAACTTTGATGTTAGTAACAACATCGTTAAACCTTGTTGTTAGCACATTCAGGAATCTTCATATATTTTTGTTCAGGCAACTCAGGCGCAACTTCATGCCTGATCATGACATTTGACGATCCCAATCCCACTAGCCATTGGGTTCAATGCGCGCTGGGGCCAAAGCGTTCAGGAAAAGCTGGAATCTTAGCACGTGTCTAATCACAGTTGTTCTTCTCCCTAATCTGGCTTGCGTTAAGGATGGGCCAATGAGAATGGTCCAGGTGCCCAGCCTTCTGCACCCTTTTCAATTTAGTGATCTAGTCGTCACAGTTCTTGGCAGTTGCAACCAGTTGGAGCTTTTTGCACAGGATTGTTCAATGATTTGTTGGCCCAAAGGTGCGGGGAAATGCACCAAGGTGAAGCAGCATGAACATTTAATGCAAAATGAGGTTCAAGTGCTTCAAGGATTTTCTACGTGTGCTAGCTGGGTTTGTGTTTGCTGTAGCTTCCACGCGATGCCCGATAGCAAGCCCAAGCCTGAGCAAGTGGAGCTGCTGAAGGCCGGCAGCAAGTTGAACGAGAAAAATGGGTCTCCTGCAATAACTTTGGTTGGTCAGGAGTTCTATGAGGTCAAGTTGACCACTGACTTCATCAATGAGCGCTTGCAGATTTTGGAAAGAAACCGGAAAAACAAGAAGGCACATTTCTGGATATAATTGTGTGGGATTCTTAGTTGTCCTAATTTTTCCTGTAGGCTCCCCTCCACTTCTCCTTCCTTGACATCAACGACAATTTCATTGATGAAGCCCAGGCCACTCTTAAAGGTAATGTATATTACAATTAGCTAGCTGGTAGTTGAACCAGTCGTCATGAGTCTTTAACTCCCTATGCACATGCGCAGGTTGTGGCCAACTTTGACTTCGTGCTAACCTGGGTTTCTGTCTCCGAATTTGCCTTTGCCCCACCCACGAAAAAGGAAGTCCAGGCAGGTTGCTTTCAAGAATCTAGTACTAGGTGCATGCAGTCTGTTCAAACCTGATCAACTCAGTTGGAATGAATATTGAGAACAAAGTTTTGGTTCCATTTTGGTGAGGCTGCACTTCGTTGGGCATGTACACGATTTCGTTTGTGCACATTCAAGAGCAAATCTGATGAGGAGGAGACCGTGTTTCTCACTGTCGATGTCATACTCTCCTACTTGCATCTCACAACCTGGAAAATCAAACAAGTGGTTGCAGGAGTGGCTGGAGACGGAGGCTGACCTTCACCGTGGATGTGCCGCGTACGTGGCTGAGAGGGCCAAACGCAATCCATCAGCCAGGCCAGGCTACTGGTCCATGATGTTCAGCATGACCCCCACTGTATCCACCAAAACTTGCCAGGATACCAGGTGTATGTTTTTCTCTCTAAGTCTCACTAATGTGCTCACAGTAATATCTAGATCTCTTGGATATTTTTGGCAAGTGCTTCATGACAGTATATATATATATATATCCTTGCCTTGCCAGGCCTGGACATCATGAGATGAACGTGTTGAAGAATACCTACCGCATGGCCTTGAAGGAGAGGGTCAATTATGTTCAGGTGTACCTGCACATAGGGTTTGCCACTGGCAGGAGTATTTTGACGAGCACCCCAGTGAGGCCATGTCTGAAAGAGCCAGGTACCAAGAGTCTTTCGAACAGATTCGAGTACTTGCTGATAGATCTATGTGTTAACAGTCGATGGCATATTACATACAATTTGAATGAACCTTTAATTTAAAGCTTACTGCAACATACGCCTGTTCCTCACAGCCCTTCCACCGCACCGTGTGCCCAGGCCAAGTCCCTGACCAATTTGGCGGCTGTGGAGGAGCCTGAGGCTGAGGTATCGGGAGCAGATCAGGAAGCAGGTAATGAGGAGGCAGGTGGTGGTGCAAGTGATGATGAGCAAGTGGATGTTTGGGTTGAAACGCATGGGATGACCCAAGAGCGTACACCACTCTTTTGCACCACTGAAAAACCAAAGCCGCCCCAGCGACATTGGCACATCAAGCAGTCTAGCTTTGCTACTCCTGATCAGAAAGTTGTCAAAGAAGACCCTGTTCGTCGTGAACTCTTCAAAGAGGGAGAGGAGGAGGAGCCTAAGGAAGTGGACCAGGAGGTTGGCAATTCCCTAGAACATGAAGAGGAGGTTGCAATAAAAAAGGAAACGAAGGGAACCTTTAAGGACTGCAACTACGTACAGTACATTGTTTATTTGAACTTGCATGAACTAGATTTAACCATCTGCACTTGGACCAGCTAGATCCCCTTGGATTAATTGTCACCCGAGCTCGATCCAGGATACAAAACCCTTGTCAGTGCCTGAGACTCTTCCTGTTGCAGCAGCTGAAGCCACTAAGCGTCTGGCCTCCAATGAGAACTCTTGGGGATCAGCAGAGCTTCAGAAGGCCTGGCGCATGGAGTGAACTTAAACATTAATGAATGAAACATATATATGCATATACAAAAAAAAACATAACTACAACCGATCGCGACTGGTCTAGGCCCAAAAGGTTCTACGCAAAGCAGCCAGGGCAGATCCTGCTGATCCGGGTCAGGGTGGTCATGATGATGACCCTGACAATAGAGGGGAAGAATCTAGTGAGGCACCAGCTTTGCAGAAAAAACCTGCAGGACGAGGTAGGGGTCGTGGGCGAGGCCGGGGCAGGGGCAAAGCTCCAACAGGAAGCAAGCAGAAAACATCCAGTGCTCAAGCTAGTGAACGAAAACGACAGCGGGCAAAACCTGAGAAAGAACAAGAGGAACATGAGGAGGCCTATGAGAGCAATGAGGAAGGTCGACGTGTAAAGAAGAAACCAGCAAAGAGCAAGGGAAACGAGGAAGATCAGCAAAAGCTTAGCAATCAGGACTGCACGCAAGTCAGATTTCCCTCATCTGCACTGGTGCGTACACAATATATATTGTCACTTGCAGGACCGGAGCCTACTGACGGAGTTGAAGAATATTGCAGATTCTGATGACCAATTTTTTGTTCCAGATCAAATCGGATCCGGTGAGAAAAAGTCAACACCTAAGTTCTGATCTATGGCCAAACTCACGTTCTTCCCATGAACTATAGTTTAATTGTGTCCCTCGTGCGCGTGCAAGGTCATGGATCATCCAGCCACCTGATCATGAAGACAGCAAGGCCTCAAGGATTGGAGTGGTGCTGGGGTCTAAGCAATATCTTCAACAAAATTGTGCTTCCCCAAAAGTATATATGCACATTAAAAAAACGCGATCAAGGTTCTATGCCAGAAGCTTCTACATTTACCAGCCTGACAAAATGGCGATCCGGAAGTACAACAAGGAACATGACACTACATTCTTGGCCTGTTCCTCAAATATTTGTACTGATCGCCAGAATGTGACTGAAGTATGTGCCTAGAGTCTAGCCAGTGCGTTGATCAGGTGAACCGACACGGTGAGGGTGGGACGACCTTGGGGTGGTCAAAGGTCTCGTCAGTTTCTATGGCGCTTGACACCCAGCTGTGAAGCGAAGCAGGATTTCCCATAGCTTATAAATGTTGTACCGGCATCAGGTGGCAAGCAGCGAAGCTCTTTGCGGGCTGGAGCAAATAGTCCTTTGAGTTTTGGAGCCTAGCTAGCAGTCTGGGCTTATTCCAAGCTTCTCCTTTAGGCTTTGGCGCAACATGTATATATATATATATATACATCACAGTCGTAACTGAATGTATTTGATCATGGTCCAGCTTTGATATTTTTGCTTATATGTATGAGTCTAGAACTGCGCCAAAAGGGATGGTTTTAGAGGCTCGAGGTGATGAACTCGCTGCCAATCATGCAGAAAATTGGAGTTTTCCTGCTGATCGATCACTTTTGTGAAGGGCCATTGATCCAATAATATTTTGGAGTTAGTTTGGAGTTATATATTAACGATTGCCCTGCAGCTGTTTTTGGAGGATATCGCTAGCTATATTTGCATTGAGGGATGGGAAAGGCAGGATGGCAGTATTCCAGCATGAGCTTGACCCAATCGGTCACCCGAGCCTTGCTGAAAGTTGGATTCCCGATGATTATGCCAGCACCTCAGCCGTGGCTGTCAAAACTAGTGCGTAGGTCATGTACATGGGTGGGACAACTAAATGAACACGGTTCTAGTTGATCACTAGGTGCCTGTACACCTAGGATACACCTGTGCGACTACTGTGCTCAACAGAATCCACATTTTCATCGAGCGATGCCCTCATAGTGCTGGTCTGCTATTAATGTACTAATATATATATATATATATATCTCATTCATTTTGAGGCAGCATGGCAACAGCAACACCAGCTCACACAATTCAGGACCTGACCAACTACGACATGTTCTCAGGGGAAGGAGCCATATGGAAAAACTTTGAAGGCCTCAGCGTTCTTATTTAATTTACACCTGAAACAGAATCGAGTGAAATATTAGCCTTATAAATCCGGGAGTTGGTTTTGATTGCCCAGGCATGAATGAGAAAACGTTTGAGCCTCAAAGCGTACTAGAACTTCAATCTTGTAGTTTGCTTCTTTTGAGTACTGCGAAGGGCGCACATGGAGATTTTGGAATCACCAAGCCAAGACCTCACAACTGTGCCACAGCCTCATACACACCGGACCCATTCCCATGTATTATAGTTATGTTGCATGATTGGTATCCTTGAGGCAGGGCCTGGTGACCGCTACAACCCAAGTCCTGCGCTTGAAGCCCGGTAGTCTTCTGACTGCCGGGCTTCCCTGCCACTCTTTCATCTTCCTGAACAGCGCGACCCACCAGAGAAGCCAAAAACGACCATTTGGTGACCAAAAGAAACCATATATCGCTGTAGCGAATTTGTTCCTTGTCAAATTTGAGATCTTTACCTAGTTCAAC